TTTTATATATATATATATTTAGAGTGAGAAATTCTTCTCTACTCTTCCCTCTCGATTCTAAGCTGCCATGGGAATGAACTCCAATCGAGTTGAGAGCTTGGAATGTCGTGAAACGGTGTTGAGAATTCCGCCGGAGGAAATGTCGGCGCCTCCGCAACAGACTGAGGAGATTCACAAAGTCTGCTTGCCGCCTTCGCAGACTACACTTCAGAAACTCAAGCACAAGCTCTCCGAGGTGTTCTTCCCGGATGATCCGTTTTACAGATTCAAGAACCAAACGTGGTTCAGAAAACTGCTTTTAGGCCTTCAATTTCTGTTTCCTATTTTCCAATGGGGACCTGATTATACCCTAGCTCTTTTCAAGTCTGACATCGTTTCTGGTCTCACAATTGCTAGCCTTGCTATTCCTCAGGTATGATCGATCGATAGTAAGAACCTCCATGCAAATTGAAATCTCTGTGAAATTTTGTGTTCTTCTGGTTAGGATTTAGGCTGGGGTTTTAGCTCGACTTATCTATGGAATGTAGATTTTGTTTCTATTTTTTCTTTTTCAAACTTGGTCAAATTTAATTTAATGCTGTTTTTTTTATTTATTATTATTAGCCTTCTGAAAATGTGTTTTCTCCATTTTTGTTTGATTTATGTAGGGAATAAGTTATGCGAAACTTGCGAATTTGCCGCCAATCATCGGTTTATGTGAGTATAATTTTTGTTTCAATGCTAAACGAAACTAAACCAGAAATTGAATTCGATTTGCTGAGTCTTTGTGCGGTTTATTGCAGATTCAAGTTTTGTGCCTCCACTGATATATTCTGTTCTTGGAAGCTCTAGACATCTTGCTGTTGGTCCTGTTTCTATCGCCTCTTTGGTCATGGGATCGATGATCACTGAGGCAGTCTCTTTTAATGAACAGCCAACTCTGTTTCTTAAGTTAGCTTTTACAGCCACCTTCTTTGCTGGTGTATTCCAAGCATCTTTAGGTTTGTTAAGGTATAAAACTAAGAACAGTTGAAAGGGAAAGGATGAATTCCCAATAATTTTCTCTGTTTCTGAAAGTGTTTTTCATTGAATTCATTGGTTTTGGTGTTCAATTTGTTACAGGCTAGGCTTTGTCATTGATTTTCTGTCAAAGGCTACTTTAGTTGGGTTTATGGCTGGTGCAGCAGTCATTGTGTCATTGCAACAGCTCAAAGGGTTGCTTGGAATCATCCATTTCACCAACAAAATGCAATTTATTCCTGTCATGTCGTCTGTCTTTCACCACAAAGATGAGGTAAGTGCTTGCTGCATTATGGGTTAAGAAAAGGAGACGAAATGAACAAGCAACCAGATGAATAGTTCACAATAAAGGGTTTTTTATTTTTTTCAAATATTCTTTTTAAAGATGCCTTTAGTAAAACCAAAGTCGGTCCATTGATCAAAACTTGTTAATATAGAACGAATCTTGATTTGTATTGCATAGTAGAAGATTTTTTTTTTTTTTTTTTTTTTTTTTTTTTTTTTTTTTTTTTTTTTTTTTTTTTTTTTTTTTTTTTTT